ATTCAGTGAGACAGCTCAGGACCCTGTACTCTGATGTCTGTCTGTCTGTTTGTCTCTGTCTCTCTTTCTCTCTCTCTCCCTCCCCATCCTCTTCCCTTCTCTCTCTTATTTGTAAACGTGCATACAATTTTTGGATATAAATTGATAAAGTGTTTGGAATTTATAATGGCAATGGGTACCTTTTTGGGCTCTTAAGGATAACAAGGGAGAAAATAAGATAGTGACTTGTTTAGTTGTCACTCACTTAGCCTATTAAAGTGTCTGCCACTGATACAGGTGTAAGAAAAGTTTCAAAAAATCTTGCATGAGTGTAACCATCAGGAAGGCCAAAGAAGACCTGCACACACATGTTTCTTACGAGAAGTTTAGGCACCTTTTTAAGAAATTTTAAATAGGAAAATAAAGAAGCAAATAAATTTGAGTTTGTTATGAAATTCAAAGGATGAAATACAGATGTTTGTTAAGAACCTATATTTTGATGAAAGGATTACTAACATATAAGCCTGTGGAACATCATTGGTATACCAGTGTTTAACAATTAAGATATTGACCATGCTTAAGTTCCTTCTGGGAGATGTAGGCCACCCTGGACATCTACACATGCGTGTGGAAATTCACAGCAATTCACCCAAGATCACGCGTTTACCTGGATCTAGCTAGAATCTCTGAAAACAATTCAGCTTGATAATTATCATATAAATGGCATATTAACTTACAGATGATCTTGTTTTCCCTTACAGCAGCAACTTTGAATGTGATTCTTTTTTTTACTCTCACTTTCTCTTTGTACATGCACACATACACACACAGTTAACTTTCAAAAATTACATTTTTTATATAGTCCAGCAACCAAGAAGTTTTATTTGCTCGATGATTGGTATCTAACACCAAAGATAAATTTTTCCCTTCCTGACCCTCAGGCAAGGTGAAGCAACAAGTTTCTATGTTGAAGTGTGATCATCAGAATTATTTGAGTTGTATCTCAAACTGTGTTGAAAGTGCTTTTTAAAGCACTGAAATTTCTCTGGCCCCTAGAAGGCTGTCAAATCCTTCAAATTTAGTTTTTTATACAAAAACTAAATGTTGTTAATTTAGTTTTTTATACAAAAACTAAATGTTGTTTTCGACATAGTTATCCACGCCTACCACCAGTTCATTTCAGGGTGTTCATGCAGAGAAGGTTTTTGGAAAATTGCTGTCTTTTTCCCTTGTGCTACTTACCATTTCTCCTAAAATAAGAAAATAAAAGCAACCGTACTAAGGCTTTAGAATAAATATTTCCCACAGTTTTCAGCACCTTATTTGTATTCATAATTCTTAACTAAATTCAAATTTTTATTAATGCAATGTGACCTAACATTTCTGCCGTAACAGCACAATGTGGAATTGGGCTGATTCTCTTTGGCTACAGATAAAGCCATCATCTTGAAAATGGCTCTTTCTGACAAAAAGGTGTTCTTTAGAAATAAAGTCATATTCACTACATTCCTCTTAGAGTTAATGTGAATTTTAGTGCCTCTAATTTTAGATGGAAGTGAAGTCTAGAATAAAACCCACTGGCTGACAATTGAATTTATAGATAGTTGTGAATATTTCAGGCTTGAATAATAGAGCTGTAGGGTTTCAGAGACAGAGCGGGAGAGAATTAAGACCTGCTGTAGTTTTAGGGTATAATGTGACGGTGTCTAGGAAGCGTTCGATGTAATGAGCTGACTCGTCATTAGGACACAGCTGTGTTCTTTTGGCAGCTCCGTTTCGGCAAGTCTGCAACGCTGGAGAAGGTGACTTAACAGGGTGGACCTCCAGTCGGTGTGTTGCCCCCTCTGGTCTCTTTCTACTCATGGCTGAGCTGTGGCTGGAGTAAACCTCTCTGTGTGCCACCTGGCTTCGCCATTAAAAAAAAAACGAGTGAACACCTTTGAAATTTGTCTGTTGGCTTCAAGACATTTCTGCCCTGAACTTGGGTGTCAGACCTGTGTTCGAGTCCCTACTCTTCTACGCCTAGCTGTGTGACTTTCAGGAAATGGTGTGACGGCGGGCGCTATTTCCTAAAATGTAATACCTCGCTCACAAGGTTGTCTTGGGGATTAAATCTGGTAATGCTTGGTACAGTGCTTAGGTTAGTGCCTGGCACCCAATAAGCGCTTGATAAATGGCGACTCGACTATTAGTATCTCCACTGGGCAAAACATATTCCTATAGGAGGCCGTTCGCGTCTGAGAAGAAACGTGGGCCACCTAGAGCAAAGTCCAGTGCGCTTCCTTTCGTTTCCGGCTATTGTGCCAGACCTTGTGTAGAAGGAGAATGGTGCCTGGCCAGAGATTTCCCTGACAACTTGAACTTCCCGGGTTTCCCTGTTTCCATCCAGGTGTTTGCAAAGTTTTATGGACAGAGATTTTTGGAGGTGACGGCTGGCTGGAGATTCCCAATTTTCCAGGCGCTTTAGCAACATGCATTTGACACATACATATTTGGTGACTTAGCAAATAACTGTTCTATAAACGGGAGGGTCATTTCTGGACTTCTTCCTTAATCTGAAGTTCTGCAAATTTTAGAAGCTCATGAGAAAAAGCCCGAGAGAGAGAAAAAGGGGGGAGGGGGGTTTGCAGAAATGAATCGTAGATAATACAAGAAAAGAGAGAAAGAAAATAGAGGGCCTGGAGAAAATGTGGTCTGTTTTGTCATCAAACAGCTCCCAACAACTCTCTGGAAAACGAAAAAAATAAAAATTAAGCAATGGTGTTTGTCAACAGAGGCGAAGCGGTTAGTTGTCATAGCTGTGAGAAATTCAGTGCCAGGGAGAGGAGAGGGGGGCCACAGTGTTTTAGTACCCTAATAACTTCTCGCTCTCGTCTGCGATCATAATGTATGTGCGGAGCAGTCCAGTAATTATAAGGTAATAAGTGGAGTGGTGGGATAAGTGATCTAAATTAAAGGGGATTTGCAGGGCTGTTGTTAAGTCAGCGCCGACCCGCTTTCTTTCCGACGACGTTGATTTGGGGAAAAGCGCTTCCCCCTGAGTGCAAGCAGGGAGACAGGGAGAGTGATCTATTAATTACAACACTCATTAACACTGACGGGTACAAGGCACAGACGTAGAAGGGAGAGGACACTGTCTTTCAAACTGGCGAGGGGCCGATGTTTCCTTTTGCTGCTTCTTGAGGAAAGGACAACACAAGTGGGCGGGCGAAGAGCAAGGAGATCTTGTGGGGGCAGGGCAGGGGGGGTGCTTTCTCTTTCTTGTTCACATCCTGGTAACTACTCCACTTCAGACAGCAGAACACAGTGTCCAGTGGGAAATGTATTGGTTAAGAGGCAAATTCTTGCATGGGATGCTTTGCTCTGGGGACTGCCTGGTTGGAACAGTTACGTAAACATCCCCGGATAGGAAATCCCATGGTTTTCGTCATTTTAAAGAAATAGAACAGTGATGGGGGGATGGGGAGCTGGAGGAGAACATGAAATTTGTGCCATAAGAAAAGATCGCCAGATTCAGGGGGAGGAGATAATTGCGTCCATTTGGGTGACGCTCGGACTACTCCCCCAAATTCTGGCGAGTGACCATTAATTACCCTGCGGAATTTGCACAAGTCACCTTTCCATTGGGAAGCAATTTTCTAACTCCCTTTCTCAACTGTCACCTCTTCTTTCCGCAGTGGGCCCTGAGAAGGTTCTTAGAGACGTTGCTAAAAGGGGTTTTGCACTATGGCCAAATGGGGAAAAAAATAGGACCAATTAAATGATATATTTTCATCTAATTACCTGTTCAGAAGTTTAAGCCCCTCTGGGCCCAAGGAAGAAAGACAGGCAGTAGGTTTCTTCTGTTGGGTTTTCAGAAAAGTCATATCGCATTTTTTGTGATGAAAAACATAGAAAAAATATGTCATGACTTTTCTGACAACCCAATAGATAAGAGAGTTTGTCACAATAGATATTCATTTTTTCTTTTAGGAGGTATCATGTTAGAAGACCAAAAGATGAGAGAAAAAGGGACCATCACACATCTCATTTTTTTTAGTACAAAATTTGATAACTTCTCACTTTGCTGGATATAAAGTATCAGATTTATGGGCTCACAGGTATACTTAAGGCTCAGATGTATTTTAGTGACTCATCTCTTCAACAGTGAGAAGAAATACACACACACACACACACACAGACACATGCGTGCGCACACAGAGACACAAACATATGGACATATGTTTGTATTTATTTAAATGATCAATGTTGGCGATCATTTCACTAAGTTTTCTGGGCTCTGGGGAGTAATCCTTAAATATTGGCTAGAATTTTGTACTTGATGTCATCCTGTATTGCTCAATGTCTACAAAACAGAGCCGTTTAAAGAAAGAAGCAAAGTGACTGAGGATCTATTCCCTGCGTGTCTGAGATCAATAAAAGACACCGTTAGGCTTATGGAAGCTTGCCGACCAACAGTAAATACAGAGCCACAGAATCGTCTGTGTAGTCTTGAACATAAAAGTTTGATTCTGCTCGTAACGCAACGATTGTGGCATCCGAAAGTGGGAGGGGAAAGCAGGGTGAAGATAACGATAATTTTAGTAATGATAATGGCCTTTGCAAATCCCTCTCCTTCCATGGATAAATTTAGAATCTAGAGAGTTGATTTAGATATTGACAGTGGTTCTCCAAGAGAAAGGTAGAATAAAAGGAATTGGACCCGTTGGAGCTTTTGTTTATGGCCTGCCTGGGCACTTTTATATAACCCTGTCATGCCCCTCTGGTGATTACCTTCCTTGTAGAACAAGAGATATTGACTGCAGAATGAATGATGTGTCGTCCCCAGCTCTTAGGTCGCTCTCTCAAAGAGCAATGTCTTCAACATATGAAGTCTTCTGTTTTTTTCTTTCTTTTCACCCTTCCCTTTCACTTTCTCTATTTATTTTTTGTTCACCTTCACTTTGTTTCTACTTCTTTTGGCCTCTGTGTTTGACCCTGTCTTCTCTTTGTCCCTCTGTTTGTGTCTCCCTAAATCACAGGCTTCTCTGCAGAATGTCAAACAAAGATCGACACATTGATTCCAGCTGTTCGTCCTTCATCAAGACGGAACCCTCCAGCCCGGCCTCCCTGACGGACAGCGTCAACCACCACAGCCCAGGTGGCTCTTCCGACGCCAGTGGGAGCTACAGTTCAACCATGAATGGCCATCAGAACGGACTCGACTCGCCACCTCTCTACCCTTCTGCTCCGATCCTAGGAGGCAGTGGGCCTGTCAGGAAACTGTATGATGATTGCTCCAGCACCATTGTTGAAGACCCCCAGACCAAGTGTGAATACATGCTCAACTCGATGCCCAAGAGACTGTGTTTAGTGTGTGGCGACATCGCTTCTGGGTACCACTACGGGGTAGCCTCATGTGAAGCCTGCAAGGCATTCTTCAAGAGGACGATTCAAGGTTAGTGTTTGACCTGGGAGCGCCCCACCCTCTTCCAGCCTCACGGGATGGTTGGTTTGTGTGTTTTTCTAGTTCTTACAGTCCTAGTTGTTAGTCAAGATTTATAGCCTTAATTCTATTTTCAGTACAAAAAAGAAATAGATTAAAATTGATAATGGGGGCTTTATAGAATACCCCACCCCCAGATATGTGCCCTGTCAAGTCTACGTTCGCTGTTAAGCTCTAAGGATGGGAGCATGATAGGCTTTGGGTGCAGATGAGAATAGCAGAGCTGTTATTAGAGCAATGTGGGGCTGTACAGCAACTGAACAAATGAAAACTGGATGAACAGTGCTTTTACTTCTTCTATTCGTCTTACGGATGCGTGGACATAATAAATACTTTAGAGCAGTGGTTTCCACACTTGAGGGTGCATCAGACCACCTGGACATCTGGTCAAAATGCACATCATTGTGCTGCACCCCCAGAGTTTCCAATTCTTTAGACCTAGGGTTGGGGCCTGAGAATTTATGTTTTTAACAAAATTTCAGATTATTCAGATGCTGCTGGTCCAGGAACCAGCCTTTGAGAACCACTGCCCTAGTCAACTTTAATTATCTACTGTGTACCTTTCTTCTTTCTCTATGGTAGGATATACTTTTCCCACCTTTTTTATTTTTATTTTTTTATGAATTTGTATAAAAAAGTCTTCCAAATTTTACCGAATTATAAAATACACCTCCACCAAACCTAATACGTACCCAAACCTGTATAGCTCTCCAGATTTATAAGTGCCAATATTATTCCCCACGTAAAATATAGAAAATTATGACTGAGTTTTGTATGTGCCCCTTTAGTAATCCACAAATACAAACTCAGCTCATTTTAAAAGCTATAATATACCCATATTCTTACAGAAAATTATATTCCCCTTTTTTAGTTCCTTTGTGATTAATTTTTGGAGAAAATAGGAGACGGATAGAATCATTATTTATTGAGGACTCTCAGCACATCAGTGAGTCTGTTTTGCTCCATGGCTTACAAAAAGTATATTTGTAAACAGTTATGGTGCTTAACCTTGTCAGCTCCCTAGAGTCACCTGGAGACTTTTAAATCATACTGGTACCATGGCTCACACCCCAAAATTCTGAATGAATTGGCCTCAGGTATGGCCAGGGCAGTTGGGCTATTGAAAGCTTCCTGGTTGATGCCCAATGTGAAGCCAGGGTGAAGTGCTGTACTGTGCTCTGACCTATAACAGAGCTTCTCAAAGTGTGGCCCCTCGGCCAGCAGTTATCAGTGTCACCTGGGAGGGACACACCTGAAATCAGTTTAATCACTTTGTGATGCTCTGGTTTTTAAAAGTTCAAAAGAGATTCTGTTTGTTCAACCCCATTCCTCCTAAATAGTTTAACAAAAGGTGAAACCCTTTCTGGGCACACAGAGCCATTTCGCAGCCTTTTCTTTTAAGAGCATCTGGGAGGCGAGCCTTCTTGGTCAGTTGTCCTGAAGGTGCTGGGGACTGTCATTAATGGAACTGGTTGGCACCATCTCCCGCTGGCTCTTGTGTTGTCTGTTATGTAGCTTTCTTGATTTGTGGTTGATGAATACACAGCTAGAGCGTTTACTTAAAGTACACAGCTTTTCAGGAGATCCTAACTCTTACAGAACAGGGTGGATATTTAAGCCTCACCTTTTCATCGTTTTCACTGAAGAACACAAGCCACGTTAGTGTGGAGTACATATGAAATACTTAAACATTTTAATAGCTGTAGCTTCATATTTTATTAGCATTTTCTTACTCAAATCCTTCACCTACTGGATCTTTATTTTCTTTATTCGCCTCTATAAATTCATGGCATTAATACCTACCTCATAGAATGCTTAAGGATAAAATGAAATGTAAAATAACGCATAAAGTAAGTAAAAACAGCGGTGCTTTATGTGCATAGCTTCCCTTCACTTTGGGGCATTTGAAAAATCTCTTCAACCTATTTACAAAATGACAAAACTTGAGAATGAAAAACACTCCCAGTGTTTGGGCTCTTACCACATTATCCAACAGTATTAAAATGCTTACACTACAGAGTATCTAAAATTTAGTAGTTTGATTTTGTTAACTCAGTTTACACAGCTCTGGGTCTATGGACACAAAGATAAGCAAATATTTTGGGATACATTCACGAATACTGTGTGTTCTGACCTAAGAAGGGGGATCTCAGTATGAGAACCACGCCCACTTTCTCAGTAACTGTTCCTTTAAATGTTCCTTGAGAACCTTCTGTGAGCCAGTCGGCATGCTGGCTGGAGTTCCATCTTACCTACATGTTTTATTAAAGCTTTGTTCCCAAAGGTTGGGGTTGAGGTGAATTCCATGTGCAAATGCCTTCTGCCTTGAGGGAATACCAGATTTTTTGGTTGGGTGTGGGGGATTAAACTCCTTGGTCCTTAGTATGTTTTCTAAAGATCAAACAACTATGTAAAAAGACTTCCTGATAGTTGTTTTTTGTTTTTTTGTTTTTTTGTTTTTAAAGTCATCTAGCTTAGATATCAATAGCTGCGCAAGAGTTATTTACTGAGCAATAATGGGAATAGAGCAATCGGAATTCTATGCCTGATTATTCCTTGGGATGCTGAGCTGCTACCAAAAGTGTAACACAGGGAAGCACAGGGTAGTTCTTGGCATTGATGGATAGTGCTCAATTCTACTCCATATTGGAGAGCAACTTGCAAGGGTTTTGAGCAGGAGACAGAGATGTCACTGTCCAGATTAGCACTCTGGACTGGCCCACCTGGCTGTGCTTGTAGCTGGCAGCTGGGCGGTGCTCACTAAGGCTACCCTGCTAGCCACATCAGCAGGCGTCCCACCATGGTGCTTACTTAGCCCCGAAAGGGCAGTGAGGCAAATAAAAGGATTAAATTGTGAAAGTATAATGTAATAATTAGGGTGGTAATTGTAAGGAAGACTGGAACAGCCCAGCCTTCCTGGGGCCAAATAGTGATAGCGATTGAACTCAAAGATGTTGAAATGATAGTGACCCGAATCTATTGTATCATTATGGGATCTTATTCTGATGCTGTAAGGACCATGGAATTCATCCTCACGCCTTGAGGCAGCATTGGAGCCAAACTATGTTTGACAGGTGAGAGCCTGTCCATCCCCTCCTTTAAAGCTCTCCAGAGAATGAGACAGGATTACACAACTCCCCTTAAGAGCAAGACTTTCTACTGTGTCACAGTCTTTATGGCCAGGACATTATATAAGTGGGGTTTCTGTTCTCATTGACTTGATGAAGGGGCATGTGCGCCCCAAAGCATAGTCCTGGAAAATAGTGCCTCTTCAGAATCTTTATTTCTTGTTAAATTAACTTATTTTTAAGACTGGTCATACAATATGTAATACGTATACGTTTTAAAAGTTGGGAAAAATACTTCTTACTTGTAGAGCCCAGAAAACATATATCCAGAGCACATCTCGAGAAAAGTAATGAGAATTGTTCTTTTCAAAGCTGAATGTGGTATTCCGGTTGTGAAAGGCAATTAATCATAGATTTCAGTGAAAGTCAACCAGAAAGGCATATATTACTTATTGACTGTTTCCAAGGTATCATTGGAAACTATTGAATTAGGTCAGCACTTAGGTAAAAGTCAAGGTTGGTTTTGTTTGTTTGTTTTTATCAAAAACTTTTCAGAGGACTTGACTATTACACCTTATCACCCCACAGGGTTACAGTGGCAGTAAATGGTTTCATTGTCATTTTCTAGGCTGATTAATTTATCCTGATTTTTTTCTCATTCTAGTTTTGGCCTCAATTCATAAATGAGTGGGAATTTTTTTTCTTTCTTTTTTTTTGTTCTCCTTAAGAGTTTTCCCTGGATCCTTGTTAAGGAGGCAAGACAAGGAAAAATATCTTTATACTCAAACACTTCAATACATATTTTATTATTTAATACACAAAACACTAGCTCCCCTGAAGTTTTTACTTCTATATATGAATATGAAAAATAAATTATATGTGTATAGACCAGGGGTGCCAAAAAAATTTATACAAATGGACACTTTGGTGAACGTTGCTCAAGCAGTAGTTCGCCATCATCGGAAGTGTCTGGATGCTGATGGGAACCACTTTGAGCACCTCTGGTAACTGCAGACGTCAAACATGATTTGTATTCATCTTTTGTTATCGGTGTATATTGAGTATTACAATTTTAATACAGGTTCCCTTTCTTAAAATCTGTATACATTTTTTGGCACCCAGTGTGTGTGTGTGTGTGTGTGTGTGTGTGTGTGTGTGTGTGTGTGTGTTTAATATAGCATATCAACTGCTCATTCTAACTCTACAGATAACACATTCTTTTTTCCCCTGCTTTGAAAGGGAGGCAATTATATATTAAAATTTTTTTTTCAGATATTCATTACAGTATGGGTTTGGGTTGATATAAAACCAGGTCCCCATGTCTCCACCCTTTACCCGCTGTGGGACTATAACATCCCTGTGCCTCCATTTCCCAGGTGGTTAGGATTAAAATGAGAGATGCCCAAATAGCTGGCCCATAGTAGGTGCTCAATAAATGAGCAACTTTGGTTGCTATTGGCAACAGAACTGCGATACTCAAGCCCTGGGCAGCTCAAATATTCTAGTATAAAGGAGTGTCCTGGAGGCTACATGCAAAGGACACGGAACCGTTCTCAGTTCACAGCTGTCCACCCTGTTGCTAGGATAATAAACTCTTTTTCCCTGTCGTCACTCCTCACCCTTTTATTTTACGAGGCGATTAGGTGGGCTGACTGGAAATTCGATCACTTTTATTTAGTTTTATGGTGATCAATGAACTTTTTTTTCTGTGACCACGGATAGCAAACTGATACATCGGAAAGGGGCTCTTGGAACGTGTCAATCATCAGATTCCCAGTGACACTTCACGTGTGGGATTTAGAAGGTGAAGCCAAATGTCTTTGCAGCATGAGATATGGGGGTGACCATTACATATGAGAACGAAGTCCGCTTCGGACGTTCATG